CGTGTCACCGGGAGAAAGCAGTTGACTGGAATGACCCAGGCTGGGCACTCAGGGAGCTGTGGAGAAGGATGAGGTGAGGGCATTGAGGGGGCTGGGGAGGAGAGTGAGTGAAGGAAGGTTGTCCAGTCAGGCCAGGAAAAAAGAGGATGTCCAGGGACTGGAGGTGCCAGTGAGGTAGGGGAGGTGGTGTAGGAGGAATAAAGAAAGAGCTGGACGGATCACAAGTCTTGGTTCAAAGTGTTGGCATTTATTATTTTAGATGTAGAGGTGCTGAGAAGGTCTGGTTGTGGCCATGGGAGGAGTGGCAGGAGGGACAGTCATTGGACACGAGGCCTTCTGGGAAGGAAGAATTTGGAGCTTAATAGGCAGCTGAGGTTTAAAACAAAAAGGTGTATTTGAATGATGGGACAGGCAGAGAGGATGGAATCTTGGAGACACATTGTATATTTTTTTTGTCAAAGAATCCATCACAAGCAGTAGTTTCTCTAGAGCAATGGAATTAACTCAGTTATTTAAAAATTAATTCAGCTATCTACTCTGTGCCATACCATATGTTGGTGCTGAGATGAGGGGCAGTAAAGAAAAGTCCTTTCTGGTTTGTCCCCCAGTAAGTCCCACATCTCTGAAGTACATCCTTCTGTATATATGAGGGGGTAGCCGAGAGGAGCAGGAGAAATGGACTCCTCATTTCCTACATAGAGCACTGGGACAGGAACCCAGGCCCACCCTCAGCCCACGAGAAGGAATAAGGAGGAAAAACCAGAGCTACTGACTTTTCCAGAGAGTGCCAGCATTTAGAAATGAAAACTGCCCCTTACTTGTTCCTGTCACAGCCTCAGTGCTTCTGTGTCCTATGGTTCTAGGTGTTTTGTGGGCCCATCAGGCCCTTGTGAAGGGACCCAGCCCTGCAGCTACAACTAGCTGGGTATGTGGCAGCTCCACGAGGCCCTGTCTGCTGCCTTCTGCCAGCCATGGTCATTGTCAGCTAGCAAAGCTCGTGGCTGCCCAGCTTGGTGCTCTGGCCTGGCCAAACCTTAGTGGCCCCTAACAGAGCCTGGACCGTGAGGTTTCTTTTCCTAAAGGTCCCTCCCCCTCACTCAGAGCTGAGCCTCCTCTTTGCCACCCTAACCCTCAGCCCTACTCCTGTAGGGCTGTGAATACAGCAATTGTTTCCTGTGGTTGCAGCTGCTTCTGAGCACATTCCTGTACCATACTGGGAAGAAAATACCCCAGGGTCCTGTTCTTGGCCTGGCTCAGTATTCAAGTTCTGCCAGTCTTGGGTTTTAGAAGAAATGTCCTCCCTACTCAAGGTTTGTCTCTGACTGGACAGGCAGGGGTAGGCAGCCTGGTGATGGCACACAGACCTGGACTGTCTGTGAGTCGGTCCAGCCAATTCATATTCCATTGCTCATGTTTTAGCTTTTCCACAAGGCCTTTGTCCATCTTGCCTAGTTCTGGGGGTTGGGAGAGGGTAACCAGGCTCTGAATTCATCGGCCCTACGAGTACAAAACCTTCTGCCTCCCAAGCTCCAGGTCCATTGGAGGGGATTGTGAAGATCAGTGTGACCTCGATGCTGAGACAGCCCTTTTCTATATCTTTTTTGGACAACTCTCCTGGGGTATGGGGAACTGCTGTCTCCAGGGGAGGGACCATCAAGGCCAGTATACCTGTGTCTCTGTCTCAAGGCCCAGCAGTGTTTTAGGTGTGCCTAAGGTGGCAAGACAGCCAAGTAAGGCACTGACTGACAAGCACTTGTGACCATCCAGAGGTTCTTCTAGAAAAGTGGGTTTGTTTCTGTCATAGTTGGGACCCATGTTCTCTCACTTGGGGTGGGTGGGGGGAGGGGAATCAGATGCAAAAGGGTGAGAATCCCTGCTGGAGCTCATCAGGTAGAGCCCGGGGCTTTTATGGCTGATAAATGGGACCAAGAGATGCAGAGGGAAAGTCAAGCTTGAAAATGAGCTGGGCTCAAGGTTTCTGTCTCCTCATCTGTAATATGGTCCCTCAGGGAGGGCCGTTGACTCTCCTCCTGACAGATCGGGTCCTTCAGGCCAGGTGTGTCTCCCATGTTTACCGGTGGCCCTTGCCAACCCTCAGCACACGTGGGGAGTGTGCACTCACTACTGTACTTTCTAGCTAGCTCCCTAGTGAGTGTCCTCCTTGTCTCCCATTGGTCATTTGGCTTAGGCAGCCAGCCACATGGGGCTCCTGTGTCTAGAGGCTGCTTTGTTCTTATTGTTTTTTTCTTTGTGACTGGCTGGTATAGGGATCTGAACACGTGACCTTGGTGTTATAAGACTGTGCTCTAACCAACTGAGCTAACCGGCCAGCCCCTGGAGGCTGCTTTGAAGCCTGAGATGAAAGATGGGAGTAGGCACCTTCAGCAGGGTCCAGATTCCTCACCTTATGATTTCTCTGCACTCCCTCCTCCATCAGACCACTGTTTCTAGTTAGGGACAGAAAGGAATGGAAAGTGAGAGGCAGAGCAGTAGAAGTAATGCTGAGCTTGGAGACAGTAAAACTAGTGTGTCCCAGCTCTGCCACTTTTGACCAAACTGATCCTGGGTATTGCTGGCCCCAGCAGTGAAATGCAGAATTGTTAAGATGACCTCTGTAGGACTCTCCAGCTCTTGTGGATTTGTGATCAACTATTGTGGGTCTTACCCTTTATACTCTCTAGCCAGAGCTGATACTCCCACAGTAGGTCAGGCCTGTGAATCTCAGTGGTCCTTGGGAGGTGTTTGTATGTGTTTATGTGTGTGTGTCTGTCCATCCTCTTTTGTATGCTCAAGTGTTGCTACATACCTGCATAGCAGTTTGTAGATAGATTCACCAAAGAGGGCAGCACTAGTGTCCTTAAGGCACTAAGCAATAGGAAGGTGGGGGCTTCACTAGTCTTCAGGGTCTGGCCTAGTCCTGGGCCCTGTTAGCATTTTTGTTGCACTGGGAGGTTTAATATCAAAGGATGTCCAGAGCCCCCAGCAGGCTCTAACTACCCTTCTCCAGAGGTGCTGGTTTTGGGCTCAGGTGCTCTGTCTCTCTCTGTCCGTCCATCAGTACCCTATCCAGCTGCTCCCACGCGGTGGTGGCCTTGCTGTACCCCTTCTCCTGGCAGCACACCTTCATTCCTGTCCTCCCGGCCTCCATGATTGACATCGTCTGCTGTCCCACTCCCTTTCTCGTTGGCCTGCTCTCCAGCTCCCTCCCCAAACTGAAGGAGTTGCCTGTGGAGGAGGTGGGCCACCAGGGGAACCGGCTGGGGGGGAAGGGTGGAGGAAGGAAGGAACTGTAACCCCTGGGAGGAAAGGGCAGGGAGGTGGGAGAAAGGCTGCTGGGATCTTCTTATTTGTGGCCTCTGGGCCTGTATACCCAGCTCTTACCCTTTCTCCCTGGGAGATCTATCCCAAGTTGGAGTTATTCCTGTTATCCGACCCTTGGAACCTGGGAGGTCTGGAGGCCCGGCAGAGGGCATTGCAGGACTCATACCCTAAACCACTGCTATTAATGACTTCTTTCCTCAGGCACTGATGGTGAATCTGGGATCTGACCGATTCATCCGACAGGTAAGCACAGCACACTGCAGAACCACAGCCTGCCCTAGGGTAGCCGGATGTTTATCAGACTCAGGCTCCTGAGCACCCTACACAATCACACATACCGCTCAACCTTTGCAGCCTGTTTGTTGAGCTCTTTGGATTCTATACTCAAAGAATAGACAAAGGTGGGGAGAAGCTAATCTGATAACCCTTGACCTCAGCAGGATCTGCCTTTCCATTGGCATCATCAGCTTCTGGAGGGCAGTGTGGGATTGTGAAGAACACGGCCTTGAAGTTGGAAGACTTAACCTCTGGGCTCTGCCGCCTTTGAGCCACGTGGTCTAGACAGGCCTCTGAACTTCTCTGAGCCAGTGCTCTCATCTCTAAAGCAGGGATGGGTATAACACATGGCTTGAAATGTTGCTGGGGGGTTATACAAATAGCTATAGTGTGCTATGTAATGTGAAGGTTTGCATAATTTACAATCATCCAAAAAGCCTTTGTTAGTCACGGAAATCCTCCTGGCTGTCTACAAAGGAGCACAACTGAATGCCATCCCCTCTGGGAGTATAATACTGTGTGTCACACACCACCAACAGAACTGTGGCTTCCAGGTGCAAGGCATAATGATATGGACACTGAACCAGAATGTAGAGACAGGAATGACAGCTTAACCTCATACCTGAGACAGGCTAGGCCACGGTCTCCCTGCCCTGAGCCAACTATGCTTCCCTCCTGGAGAAGACAGGAATTGGGGAGACTTCACAAGGGTATTGGGGTAGGAACCCCTGGCTGGGCAGTGAATGCCCACCAGCTCTACCACTTTTTATTTGTGTAACCTTGGGCAAATTTCTTAACCTTTCTGTGCCTCAGCTCCTCATCTTAAAATGAGGTTGATAATAGTTATTAGCGTTATTGGGAGAATTAAATGAGATTACGAGGGTACTTCAAAATTTTTTTGGAAAAATAGAATTAAAAGATAATACAAATCTTTCCACGAACTTTTTGAAGTATGCTTGTATACAGTTAGCTCTTCAAACAGGGCTTAGCACATAGTAAGTACTCAGTCATTGTCGGCTATGATTATTATCACTGTGTTTCTTCCTTCTTCTGAAGATGGATGATGAGGACACATTGTTACCTAGGAAGCTACAGGCGGCTCTGGAGCAGGCTCTGGAGAGGAAAAATGAACTGATCTCCCAGGACTCTGACAGCGACTCCGATGATGGTAAGGGAGGCTTGCCTGGGCAGAATCAGCTACAGACTCCCTCTGCTGTGGGTCTGGGCCTTTTAGGGCCGGCACTCTGTTTCTCTGCATTAGACCCTTTCTAGCCGATGAGGCTGTAGGGATAGGACATTTGTTTCACTCTAGTGGCTTCTCTACCCCAGGAGCTGTGGGAAGGAAAACCCAAAGATAGGTTGCAACCACAAAGATTCTTATTGCTAGTGGGACACTATTCCTTCCTCTCAGACCTTGCCTCAAGCCTTTGCAGGAGATGGAGGGAAATTTCCTCTTCCTGGGAGGCCAGGCACATCACTTAGGGTGAGGGTTGTGAGGAAAGTGGTGCTCTGTCTCTGGTTTCTACTTTCATTCATCCAGTAATTATTTGCTGCAAACTTCCATGTTCAGAGCACAGTTTCTGACCTCCAGGAGCTTGTGGGCTAGTTAAAAGCCCTTGAGCACAAGAGATAAAGTTTCAAGAACACAAAAGTGGTACTGGGTGGAAGTTTTGCTGGTGAGATGGAGACTACTCCAGCTGGAGATTGGAGGCCTTGCAGGCTGTTGACTTGAACCCCAAACATTTTCTTTTCCCTTCCAGAATGTAATACCCTCAATGGGCTGGTGTCGGAGGTGTTTATCCGGTTCTTTGTGGAGACTGTTGGGCACTACTCCCTCTTCCTGACACAGAGCGAGAAGGGGGAAAGGGCCTTTCAGCGGGAGGCCTTCCGCAAGTCTGTGGCCTCCAAAAGCATCCGCCGTTTTCTTGAGGTTTTTATGGAGTCTCAGATGTTTGCTGGTTTCATTCAAGACAGGGAGCTAAGAAAGTGTCGGGCAAAGGGTAAGGCCAGAAGAGCTTGGGGGTTGTGGGCTAAGAGCCCTCTTCTCTAACTTTTCTGCCACCAACAGGGCTGAATAACTAGGCACTGTGGTGGAAGCTCTTAGGTATTGGCTAGGAACAGGCCTCTAAACACCCCTTTTTTTCTGATAGAGATTTCCAAGGCAGCTTTCTTCTCCTGTCCCAGTAAATGCCTCACAAAGCCATGCACAAACTGGAGCCATGTGGCTAGAGTGGGACTCATTTCCACATAAGAGCAGCATGCCATTGGTTGTCCATCCCCTCCTCAGATACCCTTCTTATTCAGAGAAAAGGACCAGACTGAACAATTCGGAGGGAGAACCCAGGGATTGGGCAGTCCCTTAGAGATGATGGGGCTAGCTGTCTTAGATTAGTGGCAGACCATATTCAAGGAAGGTGGTTATCTTATTTCTAGCTATTTCATCAGCTTACTCCAGGGCTTTTTCATCTCATCATGACTTTTCTAAACTCGGGGTTATTATTTCTTCTGTACACTAAGACTGTTCATTCAGTGTAACCACCTTTTTGGAACAACATGGTACATTGGTCTAAAAGAAGGTAGAGGTGTCCATTGGGGAAGCTTTGAAATGAGGAATGCCATCCTTACTGTACTGCAGCTCAGGAATGTGCATTAGGAGGCAGGGTATCGAGGGTCTTCTTGTTATTAGCAGTAAACATCCATGAGATGTCAGTAATGATAGTTTTGATGAGCTAGTCTGAATTCTAATAAGATGCTATTATAAATTATATTCCTAGGTACTTGCTTTCTTCTTTTTAGCATCTGTGTCCATTGGTCCCCTTCATATAGGCCTCCCCATCCCTTACTCCAATAACTGTTTTCTTCCCTGTTCCTGTCTCTCCTCTTACCCAGGCCTCTTTGAGCAGCGAGTAGAGCAGTATTTAGAGGAACTCCCAGACACTGAGCAAAGTGGAATGAATAAGTTTCTCCGAGGTTTGGGTAAGGAGCTTTGTTACAGATGAGAAGTTCAACAAGGGAGGGCTGGGAGATCTGTGCCCCAAAATACTCTAAATCAGTGCCAACAGGTATTTATATTAGAGCTATAAACAGAACAGGAGATCCCTTGGTGAACAGAAGGTTCTCAGCCAGTGCTCCATGGGCATTTAGCACAGTACTTACCAACCTGCAAAACAAAGGGAAACCACATAAGTCATATAAGTCAGGTCTTCTCGTGTAAGTCAGGTTTTTCTGGGTGCACTCCTTCCTGAGAGAATCTGAGGGCTGTTAGAGCCAGTGAGTTTTCTTCTAGGCCATAAAGGGTCTACAAAAGTACCAGTGCCAGAGTGCCCTTCCTGCAGTTACACTCCCTTCAAGGAACTCAGCTAGCTAGATCATAGAATCATAGCATGTCTCAGTTAAAAGGGAAACTGAAGCCAAAGAGGTTAAGTGGCTTGCCCAAAGCCACACAGTGATTAATGCCAGTGCCCTAATTAGCATAGCATGTCTCAGTTAAAAGGGAAACTGAAGCCAAAGAGGTTAAGTGGCTTGCCCAAAGCCACACAGTGATTAATGCCAGTGCCCTAATTAGAGTGTTTTCACTACCCTGGATCAGATCTACCACAGCTGTAAAATCCAGTCTTTCTAATCCTTTTTCACTGAGAGGAGGGTCAGGACTGCAAGAAGGAGAGGGAGCAGAAGTTGGAAGAGTTGACATTGAAATATTCTCCCTTTTGCCCTCTCTGGCCCACAGGCAACAAAATGAAGTTCCTCCACAAGAAGAATTAAACAACTTTCCCAGTAGCAGAGTCCAATGACTTGCAGAGCCTGGAGCCTAGGGAGAGGGCCCAGCCTGGGACCCTCTGGGCTGCTGTGGCTGCTCTGCCACCACAGACTCCACCCTTTAAGCCAGCCCATCTTTGCCTTCATGATATCCCAGGATACTGTTTGTAAATAATCTGCTGTAAGCTTTAACTGTTTTGTAACAAGCAAAGAGAATCTGGTAAATATTTGTATATTCCCAAAGGGCCGGGTGCTTTCCTGCCCTGCCCGAGCATGGATGAAGTTTTTCTGGGTGCTGGTGACTGGCCAATTATGTGCAGCTGACTGTCTCAGCCGAACCACTGATCTTTCCTGGAGGCTTTTGGCCTGCCTGCTTGCGGCCCCTGCTGCCAGTCTTGGGCCCTGGAGAGCAGATGCTGTCTTGTTATGTACAGGAGGACTATTTTTTTTTTAATCTTAGAGTTTCTATTTTTTTCTAGTAGTCCACCTCCCCAACCCACTGTTTTTGAAAGGCAAAGGCCAGTCAGCCCCCACTTGCAGCATGGTTCCAGGCTCTTGGGACTGGTCCTTTCTTGTTTCTCCCACCCTCTGAGATGGTCAGTGAGTCATGGGAAGCCCAACCCCCCCCAGCTCTGCCAGTGCTTTCTGGGCTCCCCAGTCAGTGGTGGCCATGATGCGGTACAGGGCATCCCTCCTTCCCATCACCTTACGGGTGTTCTCAATAAACAGTGTACAGTTGTTTGGGCCCAGAGCCCCATGTGTTCCTTGACTTCATTATCCAGAGTTCTCTCTCTTGGGAATGGGCTGAGACAGGCCACCTGGGGATGAAACACCAGCATGCAAGGAATTTAGTACCTGATTAGCGGTTAGCCTCAGTGTGGATCACTGACCTCCCCAGAAAAATTTCAGATAACTGAAATTCAGTTCTCTGGCCAGAATCTATGACTGGTCTTAGATTTAAAAGATATCTAACCATTGTTCTAGTTCAGCTTTCCTCTCTAGTAGCCATCTGTTCAGACTTAATTTATGTGCTTCCAATGATGGAAAGAATGCTGTTTGCCCTTTGGCTCCATTGTTAGATGAATTTGAACTTTTTCCTATTCAGTCTGAAACCCTTAAGCAGTCTTTGGGTATTCTGACATTGGTAGAGTGAAGACCAGCTAAGGCTAACCCAGGATTTGGTCATAGCCCTGACCCATAGCCTATGACTCTTCCATGTCAGTCTGTGAAGTTTTTTCCACTGGAACCTTGAGTTTGCATAGAACAAGTTCTGTCACATTCCATGGAAGAGTAAGGAGAGAAGCGGGGTAGGGAATAAGGGTAATTTAGGCTTTCCAACCACCAGGGCCTCGGTAGAGCAGAGGCCTTGAAAACTCCCAAGATGAGGCATTGAGCTGGAACTTTTCATTGGTATTGGGTTTGGGTACGGCAGAATTTGAACCTTGGAGTAAAGTATCCTGTCCTTCCAACCTAGTCTGTTTAAACAGGAAATGATCTCATGCTGAATTTTCTTTCCTCCTGCCCCCTATCTCCATTGAGGCCTATGCAGGCCCCGACTTATCTATGATTTGGGGCTGCTATCTGCTTCATAAAAACAAAGTGGAGGGTTTGTCTTCCCGGAAGAAACCATAGTCGTCTTCTCTGAAAAAGCCTTCTACAGAGTTGGCTTTTGCATTTGCCTGGAATGCAAAAGGAGGACAGGGATTGAGGCCTTATGAGTCTGGGTTTTCAGTTGAGGTGGAGAGAGAAGACAGTGAGTGTAACCAGAAAATTCAGAATGGGGTGTAGTTACCTCCAGAACTCATCACTGTTATCCCAATCTGGGTTTCATGACAGTCACAGAAGTGGTTTCATTAATAATAAAAGACGGTTTCCAAAGGTGCTTTCTCTCCTGCTGTCCTGCGCCTCCCCGCCCACTTTTTTAAAGTAGCTCTAAAGAACCTTCAAACGTGGTCAGATAACAAGATGTATAGGTGTAAATTGTTATCATTTTTTTCATAAATTTTGAACCTTTTATGTACCTTTAAAACAGTGCATCTTAACCCTTGGGTGAATCCCAGAAGGGTATGTCTCCTTCCTCCTGCTGTGGCCGCAGTTTCATCCCAATTCAGAAAACTGATACTGGCATGTAATGGCTGGGAATGGGCTGCAAGGGCCCATACAGTGATTGCTCAGGTCAAGGCACAGAAGCCTTATCGAGAAGAGGATGTATGGACAGCGGCCTGGTTTGGAGCTGACAAAATCTATTCAGGTTTTCTTTCCAAGTTCTGCTTCCCCATGATCTCTGGAGCCCTAAACCAATGATTCTCCACACTATCAGATCTAACACTTTTTTTTATAGCACGTACTGTAACTCCACTTTACTATTCTGAAATGAAAGTCATAGATAATATAATCTACCTTAAACATATCTTAACTGTAATATGAAAGGGGAGAAATAAAAGGGAAGTATTTTGTTTTAACATATGTTTAAATATGTAAATGCTTAGGCACAGCTGTACTAGAAGATATAATGAAGTTAGATGCCTACACCTGTATAGAGAATTATGACTACGATAGCTACATATGCAGACAGATAAAAGCGTGTTGTATTATCAACTCAGATCCTACTGATTAGTTATTATTGATGAGGGAGTTTTCTGAAATGAACAATTTTTGGAAATGTTCTGAACAAAAAGTATGAACTTCCCCTGATTTAAACAGTAATTGGAATCCGAGAGAACTGAGAAGTATATGAAAACTCTGCAAAAAAAACCAACCAAACAAACAAAAACCATAAAAAACCAAAACAGAACAAAACCTTTTTTGATTATTTGGAAACGGAGTTAGATTTTTCTTTGTTGTGTAGGACCAACCCATCCATTGCAGAACACTAGCATCCCTGGTTGCTTCTACCCACCCCCCATGATTGTGACCAAAAAGGCCTCGATAAACTTCCAAAACAATCCCCTAGAGGATGGAACTGCCGCCATTGAGAACAAATGTCCTTAAATGACGCCTTTCTGATAACCTTCAGGCAATTGCTCAGGGGCAATGCAATGCTCTCTCTACCAGGAAGTACCAGTGCCTACAGGGGTGTCAGCCCTCCTCTGTTCTGGAGTTAAGGCAGGCCCTGGGTTGTCTCCTCTCATCAGTCTGGTAACTTTTTTCTTTTTTTTAAAGATGACCGGTAAGGGGATCTTAACCCTTGACGTGGTGTTGTCAGCACCACGCTCAGCCAGCGAGCTAACCGGCCATCCCTATATGGGATCTGAACCCGGGGCCTTGTTGTTATCAGCACCGCATTCTCCCGAGTGAGCCATGGGCCGGCCCCAGTCTGGTAACTTTTAACGCAGGGCAGGCGATGTTCTAAATGCTCTTTTCAATAAGTAACCACGCTCTGGTTAACTGTAGTCTTGAAATAAGGAGCCTGGGCTTTTTAAGAGCAGTATTTGTAAGGCGTGCCCTTGGAAAGTGGTATTATTCAAACTTTGGTTCACATTGGATAGTCTGTGGAAGTAAGTCTGAGCTGTGGTTTTAATTAAATTTTTGTTAATAATAATACCCTTTATTTCAGGGTAGACTTATAACCTACCTTGTACCCAAAATGATTTATAAGGATACACAACAGAATATTTAAAACAGCATCAACTGAAAGTGGGAATGAAAGTAAAACAAAAATTGGAATGTAAAGTAGAGCTTCTACTAGAGATGGTACACGAAATAAACACAATTAGTTTTTAGAGCCAGATGAGGTGGTATGCATTCCAAAATGTTAAGTATATTTGCCCATGGAGGTGGGGGTGTAATTTCAAAGGCCATGAAAACTCCAACGAGAGAAAATACTTTTCAGCACTGACAAGTTTCTGGCAGCTTATTTCTTTTTAAAGTTATTTTTTGTCCATTTATACCTCCTTTCAATACGAAAGTAATAATGCATTCGGTTAAACAAGAAACAAACTACCACAACATACATCATTTCCGTCACCTCCCAAAGCCCAAAGAAGAAATTCCTTTTCTCAGGACACTTGCATGCTTGTACATGCGTTTTCTTTTCTTAAGCATTTGAACATAGTTGGCGCTCGTTATCTTTTAGACAATTGAAACAACGTAAATTCTCAGATATTTGGAAATTCCCATCTTGAAAGTGTTCGTAAAGCCCACACCTCTTGTCCTACGCGCACCCGAGGCGGGGTTTGAAGTGCAGTAAAGCTGGCCCGGAGGCCTCCCTCGGAAGGAGACCAAGGGCTGCACAGCAAGCAGGACCGGAGCTGAACCTTCCGCCTCGCCCGGCAAATATCGGATCGGGCGACTCGAACCGGCCCCGCCCCCTGCCGGAAACGGCCGAGCCGGAGGCTGGGGAAGACTCCTAGCGTGCTTCCGGCCGGGAGTGGCTGGTAGTGGGGGAGGTATAAGTGCCCCGGAACCAGAACTGCTCACCCTCCGGAAGTGGTTCTCGGGGGCCAAAGAGAGCGCCGAGCTCTGGTAGGTGTCGTGAGGGAGCTGCTGAAGTTGGGCGGTGCAGACTGATGGACGGCCGCGGGAGCTCCGAGCGCTGCGGGTTCCCAGCCGCCCGAGCCCCCGTAGCCTCCCCGCCGTCGGGGGATGTAGGTGGGCGCTTTCGCCTTGTTTCCGTGCCAGGGGCTGACTTTTCTCGGAATAGTTGGCTAAGAGGGATACTTGCATTTATTTCAACTTAAATCCTACTTAGCCTGTTTTAACAAGGACTGCTTTTGCAAATTGTGTCATTTTCCACTAGTCCAAAGTTCTATCTGCAGCTGCGAGGTTTGGTCGAAAATACAAAGTACATACACATCAGGCTAGTAATTCTATCCCTTTGCAACTCAAGCTTATAAAAAACTTAACGTGCTATGCTAGGTGGTACCATTTTCACAATTTTAAGTATGTGAACAAAAGCTTAAGGCCACCGAGTTGGAGGACATCTGATAAAGCTCTGCTCCCCACATTTGAGAGAACCTCATCAACTGTGTGTGTACACTAGTCAGCCACTAAATAGACACAGTACGATTCTGCCCACCGGGTACGTCAGTAACAGCTTGGCAGTCTCATGAAAAAATGTTACTGAATGTAGGCTCAAGAAAGCACTGGCGTCAAGGTAGACGTGGAGCTCAAAACTATTTGTCTGCTCATCAGTCTGTCTTACCCTACACTGTGTTCCCTTACTATGGGTCACATTGTATCTAGTGGCACCTTTCACTCCAAACTTAAAACATAAAATCAAAATGTAAGGTTTGTGTCATGCCTTCTTTGGGATGTGGATGTTTGGCTTTCAGTGTCACCCAGCTCAGAGCACCTGCCCAGCTGAAAGATTTGGGGGTGAGAACAAGCTGGGAATAAGGTAGATCAGCAGCTGCTCTTCCAGGATGTGAAGAAATGGCTTCTAGAGGCATCTTCTGTTTACAATGGCTGTACTAGTAACTTTTGCATTTAGCACCTCCATATAGGATTAGGATGAGTATACCCTGTCATATGCAGATAGTTATCACAAGCAATGAACTCCCAAGGAAGACACTAGTGATCATATTCTTCCAAAACTTGACCCTTCCATGCCTAACCATTTTGTGGTCTGCTCCACTCCAACTTAGGGAACCTTGGATACCAGCAATGAACTCCCAAGGAAGACACTAGTGATCATGTTCTTCCAAAACTTGACCCTTCCATGCCTAACCATTTTGTGGTCTGCTCCACTCCAACTTAGTCACCAAGTCTTGTCCATTATGCCACCTGATCCTACTCATTTTTCACCCCCATTCCCACTTTCTTGGTCCTGCCTCCAGGCTCCCACTGTAGGCCAATCCCTGATCTAAAGCCCAGCCACTTTCCAGGCTCATCTCCCACCAACAGCACTTCCCATTTGGTTCCAAATTGCTTTTCTAAAACATTTTGCTATTTCCTCTGCTTGTACCACTTTCCCATTGACAATCACATGAAGGAGGTTGACTCTATCTGCTCCCATAATAGTTTACACTTGCACGTGTGTTAAAGAGTTGAACACAAAGGTTAAGTGCATGTTTCCCATTTTACTTAATCTACACAATCTTCAAATAGGCACTTTTACCAAAATTTTAAAGATGAGATTGGGTTAAGCCTCAAAAGTCACACAGCTTTTGAAACCAAATATTAAGTTGAATCTCTTAATTTACTAACTAGTGACTAGCTATTATAGAACCTTGGACTCGGCTTCTGTGTTTATAAGTCTTCAAAATGACCCTAATGGAGAGAATTCCCCCCCTAACCCCTGTCAGTACCATAATGGAAGATGCACACCCAAATGATCCAGTTATAAGACTGTCCAACTGAATAAAGTTTTCCTGACTCCTTGTAACTCTATTCTTATCCAAGTCAATTCAATTTCTCCTCTGTGCTTCCTCTTATGTTTGATTCCCAACATCCTCTAAAGATT